CTTCTATCTAAAGGAACCACCTTCCACAACTCCACTTGCCTAATCACATGTTGAGAGTGCTGTGACAGAGCGATGCTGGGCTTGGCTTCCAGGAGGAAGACTCTTTCCTGTTGAGTTCAGTATCTCTACAGGAGATGGGAGAGGAGAAAGAGAGAGACAAGGGACAGAGGCCTTCTCTTGTCCAGTGCAGAAAGTCCATTGGTGAAGAAGTTAGATAAAGGAGGGAGGCAAAGAGGAGAATAGGAAGAAGCCTATTTCCTGAAGATCTCAAGAGTTTACAGGGGAAGATGGAGAAACTCCCTTGGAAAGGTTTCCTGGGCTTCACAGGAAATGCGATGAAAGAGCGTCTTTCCTGCAGCGCTCAGGAGCTCCATTCTTTAAAAATCTCTCTAACATTGAGCTCAAGAGCTTTGCAGATTGACGACGGGATGGAGCAAGGTCTCTCCTTTCCCACCTCCATACTGACGTTGCCTAGGCTGTATTTTCTGGCCCTTAATCTGCCGGTTGATTTGACCAGGGTCGTGGAAGAACCCGCCCCATAAGTTGACTAAATGGGATCCAGTTTCTTTGGTTCCCACCTATAAGGACTTATAAGGTTTCATGTGCTTGACTTTCCAAGAAGCTTGCGGTCACGAAAACGTGCACGCAAGCAAGCAAGTACAACCAGTACTAATCTGTTGCAGTTGACAAAAATCTACCTTTGAGGAGAGGATGAGCGAGCAGGGGATCAAGCTAGGCTTGGAACATTAACTTGCAACAAGCCTTGAAAAGCAGGTTAGTTACAAAAAGTGAGAGGGAAATAAATGGATATTTACAATTAGCACTTGGCACTGATAATTATCCAAGGAGATGCCAGGGCACGCCAGATATGTTGTCAACATTTGACTAGCTGGAATAAACAATGAAGCACAGCTCATAATGTTCCAGGTTGTATAAATCAAATCCTTCTCAATAAGCCATTAAAAATACTAAGTGAGATACAGGAGGAAAGAGTAAAAATAAAAATAGATGGGCACCAAAGCAGAATCCAAACTTTCCTGATCTTTGGCAAGTTCAAACTTCAGATTTTGGTTTTGCAACTTGGCCTCATCTCTGACTGGAAGTAACTGCTACTTATTAGAACAGAGAACAAAATCTGCATTATATTTAATAAATTAATAAATAATAATGATAATAACCATGAAACAATTAAAAGCAATAAGGCAATTTCATACCATTCCAGTGACATAGCCATTGTCAAGAGCAAGGGCAATATGTGGCATCTGATGACTCTTAAACACATGTGCGTTTCTTTTGACAGTCACGTCAAAAAGACCTAAAGAGTTTGGGGGAGAAAAAAGGTAAAGCCATAGATATATTCAAACTCATTTTTACATCTAATACCAACACGTGACTTATGATTTTGCAAAGACATTATCTGGCAGGGAAGAGGCCGAATTAAAAAAATTAGTAATTAGAACTGAGGAAAAAACTGGATTCTGATCAACAGATCGCCTCCCAATTCATTTCGGGAAGCTCATAAAGTCACTGCCTGAGAGCTATCAGCGAAGACATCTCATCATATACTTAGAGAGAGATTATCACCCCAATTCTGGCACCTGTGCACCTGCTAAAAGGGATGGAGCAGCATAGCCCCGTATATGTAAAGGGAGGATTCCCCCAGCACAGGCAATATGGAAGACAATTCCCAGCATAGAGACGTGCCAGAGTGGGCCTGGGTGCAAGAGGTGTGGGTTTGGGGCCAGGTGCAGCACACAGCTGTACAGAGATTCTAGGCATCACTGTGGCTCATAGGGCACCCCAGAGAGGCTGCCATAACTCAGACAGGCTCCAGGGCCATGTTATTCCTGGGGCCTCTCCAGTCCCTGTAGCAGCCCTGGATCAGGAAGGTGCTAGGGTGACTGATAGTCACCTTATCCCCTCCCTCCTGGGCTGAGAGTTCTGGGTTGTGCTTCTTAGAGTACAATGTTCAGTGCTTTCCACAATAGAGTCTTGATCCCTAACTGGGGCCTCTAGGCACTACCACATTATAAATATATACATAAATAACACAGTACTTTCCCTAAATGCCTGTAGTTCCCACTGATAGCAATAAATACAGTGAGTCAAACTCATCCCCAGTGTAATAACACTGTGAGCCATTTCTCTCCCATAGGCCTTTTCTATCACTCTGATGGGCCCGCTTGCAGTGCAAGGTACTACTCAGAATAGCAGAATCTGGCCCAGAGATTTTATCTATTGACTAATTTTATTCTATTCATAATAAAATAGAGCTGTTGCAACCTGCTGTTTAGTATACTTAAAAAATTAAGTATATTCATTCAATGAAGCAAGGCTGCATGCACCGTATGCCTATTTAAACTATTGTTCTAACTAGATCAACTAAATTCAAGGTAATTATCTCATACATGGGGGCATCTTGCATGTTGGCAGTGTTCCTACATGCCAGAATCAAACCATAGCTCAAAAAATAATAATCAGAATGGCACTTCTCTTAGTGCTTCCAGTTAGGGATAAAAAATCCTGGAAAATTAATTATCCCTGAGCCAAATCCTCAACTGATGTAAATTGCAATTACTCCATCAAAAGCACTGACACAAACCTAATTTACACCAGCTGAGGATCTGGTCCAAAGTTATTAATAAATTGTTCCTTGTAGTCCCACCAACATTTGAAAGGCAGGAAAGTTTCAGCCCAAGCAGCTTCCCTAAAGCTGCTTTCTATGAAAGATAAGTAGATGGTGTTTCTTTCTGGAAACTTAATTCCTAACTGTGAGCACAAGGAACAGTGCCCAAGATGAAAAATTAAGCTACAAGTCTCACATCAGCTTCTGTTGTACAGAGCTAGTCTCACTGCCCTGGTAAAGTAATGTGCATGTGTTTAACCCAAACAAACATTCAAGAGAAATTTTGAGGGGTAGAGACGTGTTCTTCATGCCAAAAAGTGTACGTAGATGTGTGCCTACATTTGACATCACAATTGTGCTAGCTGCGTGCTCTATTTATATGGCCATTTGCAATAACTGTGCGTGCAGTTGTGGTACCTGCACAATTACACAGAGACTGAAAATACTACTCACTGAAAATTAGAAAATGACATGCATGATGATTTTACTTCTAATGTGTAAAATTAAATGTACAGAAAGTGCTATACATTTAATGTGTTTATGTATTTAAAAACTTCCATACAGAAGTCCACATATAAACATGAAGGAAAGCGTATGCAGATGCAGCGGTCCGCAGTGAAGCAGACAGCAGTGTGAATTTGGATTCTGCATGCAAAATGATTATGAACTCTGTGGTGTCATGTGGAATTGAATCAAACATAATCCATCAGTCAAAGCCATAGTGTTAAAAATTGAACCGATTTGCTTATTGCTTCAGTGCAGCCTAGGAGACCTGATTCATGTAAGGAGGTTGGTTTGGAGGTTTACCCAGTAGGTCACAGTTTACAATCATAAAATGAAACTCCCTGTGGGATTTTCAGAACACGCTCATGCTGGGTAACTGCATTTAGGGATTTGGAATGCTCTGAAATTTAAGGCAATACTTAGAGATTTGATTAATTCAACATTCTGAGTCACTGAATAATTGCACTCCAAGAGCAACCATGACAACTAAAAAGGGATCTTTCCAAAAATAAAGTGAAACCCATATTCCATGCCTATCAGATTTTATTGATCTACCTGTGGGACTGTCCTGCATGGAGAAGATTACTTGAGGAGTTATTCATATGGGGGTTTTCTGCCCAAATTTCTCAGAGACATCCCACAGGTAATTGCTGGGAATTTGCTCATTGCCTTGAAGGCTCTCTCAAGTATGACTTCAAGGTTCTGTTCTGTCACCCCTTCTATTCAGAGCATAGGTGAGGCCAATCAGGAAAGACCTGAGACACTTTGGGTTGCACCGCCATAATGTAGATTATGCTTTCAACCTAATGTTCTCAAACCCTTGTAACACAGTACTTTCTCCTTGCCAGAGAGAGCTGAGGCTTGAATGGGAGTGAGTTGGTTGAAGCTCACCCAGATAAGATGGAAGTGATACTGGTAGAGAGGAGGAAGCATTTGGAGCTGGTGGCTGGGACAGTATCTGCCCCAGTTGTTGAGAGGATTTTACCACCCTTACCATGGAGGTTTGCATTCTGGATCACTAAACCAGCACATGAGAACTAGATTCTATTTAATAATGGGACGCCATTGTGAGATGTTCTTTTACAACAAAACCAAGTGGCTTTTACTATTAATAGTTTTAAATGCATTCAAGAGTAAGAACATTCATGGTTGCCATCCTCTGCTCCTGTTAGAATTAATTTTGAATCTTATACATGACACCTGCAATGATCTGATAATGCCCTCCTTCCTCATGCTGTTCACCCACACATCCCCATCTGGCAAATATTTTACCATATTTGTCCTTCTTGTCACCAAGTGCATCAACTGTGCCATCTGGACTGAGGCGTATGAAACCACGGGTGAGCCTGTTGTAGAACTGAAGAGTGTTGCCTTTCTGAAACTTCCATCTTTCAGCAGCCCACTAGTTATATTTTTAAAAGAAGGAAGAAAAGAGCCCTTATGAGAAGATACAGGAAGAAAACGTCACATACAGAAAAACTATTGACCTGATTTTCCCCAGAACAGACTTTGTATACTGTCAAATCAATTTTTGAAAAGAGAAAAAGTCTTTACGTTTTCCTCTCTCTTGAGTTCCAGCTCTTGCCCTGCAGAGATAGAGAGAATGTGATCAGTTTACACAGTATCCTGGCCATTCTTTGACACAGTCACGGTGACAAGGGACTCTCTTCTGCATTGTTTTATGCTTACTTGCAGAGAAGGTGGTAGTGTCAGTGACATTTAGTTCTCTTACAATTTTACCATCCTCTTCCCCTTGATCTAGCCACCTTTGGAGAAAAACAGAACCCATTCTGATTATATTGTTTTGATCTCAAACCCAGCAATATTTTTGTCACAATGTTTACACATTACATTTTAATATTTTGTGCACTGAGGCCCTTTACCACCAAAGCACTTAAGCATGTGCTAAACTTTAAGCAGGGGAGAGTTTCCATTGACTTCAGTGGGACTGCTCACTTTTTTAAAGCTATACGTGTGCTTAAGTGCTTTTCTTGATCAGGGCCTAAAGGCCCAAGCCAGCCTGACTACCTGGAGATCTCAACTAGTGATCCAATGTTAGGGATCAGTAATAGCAGATCCACTGACCATACTGTCTGCCCCCAAAAGGCTTCTTCAGGGAGCCCAGCTGTACAGACTCCTAAAATCGTCTCTCATGAAGCAAATTTCTTGCAGGCAACACCATCTTCCCCACCCCCAACCCATACAGGTGTAAACTGTGCCATTAAAAGTAAAAAAGGCTTTATTTTCTTCTCACTTACACTGCATAAATTAGAGCTAACTCAGTTAAAATCAAAGGAGATGAACCATTGTAAAAGTGATGTCAGTGAGAGGTGTATCAAACCCTTCAACCACACACAGGATTTTTCTGTGCGAAACAGATTTCAGCAGTCTCTGAATTATTTATGAAACTAGCATTGTATTTCAAGCTCTCTCTGTAGCAGTTCATCTCACCTACAATACTGAATCAAAATTAGGTCACGCTAAGAGGAGGTGCTGTATCAGATGGGCAGAAAGCCCACATGCACACATAAATCAATTTCAGGGTGCACATCAATCACTCAAAGCTGTCTTGGACACTTATTTATTCACTTGTAGAAGTGAAAGAAGGACACAGAATTGAGGTGCCATTGGCAAGTTGTAGCTGGATTCATACGTGAGTGGACTTTACTAATTCCTAATATTTCTACTGATTTTTATTAATATCACTTTCCATAAGCTATTTGTGAATTAATTGATAGTAGATAAAATTAGAAATTAGCATAGGAGTAGAAGATTCAGAACAGAAGAGACCACAGGGGAAGCAGCAGGGAAATTGGGATTGCTTCAAGTTCTGCTGCTGCTCAGTGACAGGTTTCGGGTGGACGGGGAAGGAACCAGCCGATCAGATACACCTCAGTGATAGCCATATCATGAGAACCTAAAGCCTGATCCTGAGTCCACTGAAGTAAATGCCAAAGCTCCCATTGGTATTGTCAATGGTGCAGAATTACCCTTAGAGAGAGAGCAACCCACTCGACTGAAAAGTGTTGCCTTGGATATAGGGAGAGGTGGATCAGCTGATGTCAGATCCAAAATGTCAGATGAGGGGATGTGCCAGCCAGCAGCTCTGAATGTTGTAACAGGTGTGGAGTGGAGACGCCTTATATAGAATGTTTCAATGCTCAGTCAACGGTTAAATGTATCACAGGTCTGAAGTGACCAGACGTTTTACCATCTTATGACTGTTTGTTAGCGTATGTAAAAGGAGTTGGAACATCTCAATTCGATTCTTGGGGGACAAGCACTTCACAAATCACCCCTGACTGGAGAAGTCATGAATAACTAGTTGTTATTACAACATAACCCATTTGAAAACATTTCCAACCTGTGACAAGGAAAAGAATAATCCAGGTCTGTGACAGGATCCTTGACTACAATCTTCTCCAGAAACCATCCATTTCCTATGAACAAAATTAAAAAAAAGTACATCCTAAAATGAAAATTTACTCTGTGTGTGTGTGTGTGTGTGTGCGCGCGCATGCATGCACACACACACTCATATATTTGTCCAGATTCTGATTTAAATTACACCAGCTTAAATCAAGGCAAACTCCACTGAATTCACAGAGCTATATCAATGTCAAACCAGTTTAAGTCAGATCAGAATCAGACCCAGTAACTTTAAACACAAATGAATATAACATTAGCACCGTGCAAGGAGTCACTCCCTGATATATAGTAGTGCTCATCATTTTCCTGTAATTACGTTAGGGTCCTTGTCAGGGTTGAATGCTTTCAGAGCAACCCCTCGTGAGCCTGCACGTGTACTGCTCATAGCTCCCACTCAGACTCTTGCAGGCAATTACCAGACCAGATTAGGTCTAAGCACATACTCCCTTCCCGAGGGGTCTGGTTTATTAATTATTTCCACAAAGTGTAACTCACCATTTTAGTCACTCAAGTTCATAAGCTCTCTGGATCCATATAATCGTCCTGGCAGGTTTTTCTTGCCCCTGTTGAGGAGCTCCCCCCCTCCATCACCCCAAGTCCCATTCTTGGAGCTGGGTTGTAGTTCAAAGAGTCACTCCCTCAAGAGAGGAGTCCCCCAGCCAGCTCTCCTTCTTGGAGCTGGGGTTGGAACTTAGGACCTGTAGGTCCTTAGCCAGCTTCTCCTTCAGCTGGCCCCTTTTTCCCAGTTAGTCCTTGGGTTCAGCAGGCAGGCCTTCTCCTGCTATTAAGAAGGAGCTGCTCCCCTTTCCAAAGCTCATCCCAGTTGGCTGGGTGAAAGTGGGCCTTTGCCCCACCTGCCCTACTAGACTCCTTGTCCTGGGCCCTTAAAGGAACAGTAACAGGATTTCCTCTCAAACACTACTTATACCCAAGACCACTTCCTCTTGACCAATATCTCCTAGGTCCTTGCATACCAAACCTCCCAAAATCTTAAAGGGCCATTCCACATGATGGAGGTAGGCTGACCCCAGGTACCACTACCCTTAGGGGGACAGACCTCCTCATCACAGTACAAGCTATTGTAAGGAAAGAAAGATTCACTTCAAAAACTCTCCATTTATAGTCACATATGCTAGAAGCACCAGAGGTGTTAAAAGTGGACTGTTGCAGGCTAGCACGGCCCCTTATCCCTCTCATTTAAAGCATTTAATTTGTGTATTTGAGAAGATATTTTCTTAGTCTTCTTAATTCTTTAATATTTTGGTCAAATTATCAATAAAGCTGAACATTTTGGATACAATTTGGCAATAACACTGCCTCCAATTTTTTAAAACATTAATTATCATTGCTAGCAAAGGTACTATCCATTCCTGGCAAGTCCATGGCATTAAATGGTGCAATATTCCCTTGATGAGTACACATTGTGAGAGACAGTGTAATGCCATGGAATATTTCAGAAGTCCAGGAAGCTGACAGTTTAATCATTAACCAATCTGAGAGGCCCTCACTGCCAGCAACTCTAAGGGATTATATTGACTGGCTCAAAGCAGAATGAAGAAAATTGATTGTTTGACACTACTGATCTTGGCACATAGCTGTTTCATCATTGCAAAACTCCACGACAGAGAGCCATGTTATAATGTGCAGAAACGTCAGAGGATAGCAAGCATCTGCCTGAGAGACACTACTGCAGAGGAAGAGTTGATGAGAATGGAGTTCATGAGAAAATGGAGATTTTTTTAAGATACAGTGAAACCTGCCGTGAGCAACCATCCAAATGATTAATTTAAAAAATCAATTGCTTAGAGGAAGTGGCTCTTCCAATGAAAGTGGATTAAGACTGCAAGACTGCATTCAATAGATCTGGAGACACTTCCTCTGTCTCCCACTCATTTGTCCAACTTGTCTACTTGATTGCAAGCTCTCTACGGCAGGGAATGTCTCATGATGTTTCTGTACTGGGCTTAACACAATGGGGGCCTGATTCAGTCTGGGATGCCTAGGAATTAGTGTAATACAAATAAATAAAACAAATAAATAATAAATAATAATGGTGTGGTCTCTTAAGACAGGAGGTTGCATAATAAAAACTGCCACTGAAAAACCTATAGCAGGTTGTCTGGAGGAGTGGAAAACTCAAGGATTTTCCCCACATAGGGTTTTTCTTGAGTCATTTTCCCTTCTAACTCTGTGGTTCTTAGGGATTTATCCTTAGGAAAAGGAATTGCTGGCAGGCTACTCCCTTCCATTTGACAGCCTGGTTCAATAACAACTATGTAATCATCAACTGGGTCCTTTCTCAGCAGCTTAGAAGAAGCCACAGAAGGGATCCAGAGCAAAATATCACAGCTCCCAGTGCATGGTTTTCCTGGATTTCCATGTGAAAATCTGGGAGCAAAGAGGGAACAGTACCATGGAAAGAGACATCTCATCTAACCTGCTTCCTCCCCCAAGATGTCACCATGCTCTCTGCTTGCTGAGTTCCAATCCAGGGGCATCTGTACAAGGCTAATGAACAAGAGAAACTGTGACAGAAGTGCCACTTCTTCCCTTCCATATGGAGAGGGGTTGGGATGTCCTCCACAAGTGGATTAATGTGGGATGATCGAGCAATGAGTGATATCTTACTGACAATATATGGAGATATACCTATCTCATAGAACTGGAAGGGACCCTGAAAGGTCATTGAGTCCACTCCCCTGCCTTCACTAGCATAACCAGATACAGATTTTGCCCCAGATCCCTAAGTGGCCCCCTCAAGGATTGAACTCCTAACCCTGGGTTAAGCAGGCCAATGCGCAAACCATTGAGCTATCCCTCCCCCCAGTCTTGTATACATTGGAGGGATGAGTGGAGGGAAGGGAGACGGGGAGGTTAACTGTATTACTGCCTGTATCTAAAATATCAAGACAGAGTAAATTGACACCTCTACTAGACACTCTGGCCCAGACTGTCTAGCATTGATCTGCTACAGTGTTTGGTATTCAGGGACAAATAAATCCAAGTCTTGTGCTCATAGGCAATTTGGTTCATAGCCCATATTTCCATCAACTGTGTGTGTACAGTACCTAGCACAATGGCCCTCAAATCCCTGGTTGGGACTGTCAGGCACTACTGCAATTTAAATAATAATGATGCTAATAAATTTCATTTACAGTGATAGACCATCTCCAGAAGACATACAGAATATAGACTCTACAATGAAATATTCAAAGTGCAGAAAAGACAAACAAATTCAATTTTTCAAACGGGAATGACAGAACTATAATGTGCAGTACCCTTTATTTAAAAGTAACAATTATTTGGACTATAATAGAGGTTAAGGATGATTATTTGGAATTTGTGATGGTACCAAAATGTAAACTTTTCATTTTAATGACTGATATTCTTGGAACCCTTTGTCTCCCCCTATAAAATACCTTGGTCACATTATTTCATATGAATATTTTACAAATACCTACTCTAATGTCACAGAAAGCTGTGGTCAGTATTCAGTTACTGTATGTAGAGATTTCTCACCTGATCCAAGTCCATTGTGTCCTATAACAATCTTGTACAAATCTCCAAGGTGCACAGCTTCAAGTAGGAAGAGGTCAGTCTGCAAACCAGCCAAGAAAAGTGCAATTAAATCTCTAAAAGAACTCCCCATCCAATGGGACGCATAAAACCTATGGTATAAAACCTGTGAAACTCTTCTATGAAGTATGAGCATCCCGATATGATCTACGGTATGAAATAATGTATGATAATGTCAAAGCAGACAAGCAAAGCTGGTTTCCAGGACCAACAATTATGACTAAAGAGCTAATCCTGATCACTTTGCTTATGTGTGTAGTCCTATTCAAATCAATGCAATTACTAGAGTGAGGAGAGCAGAAACTAGCCCAAAATTTAGTTAACAAAACAATCACAAATTGTAATATAACTTAATATCAGAATATAGTAAAATATGTATTTTACTGAAGTTATTTCTTCTCTCCATATATATTATTTAAATAATTAAGAAATTTTAAAAAACAGTATGCACTTTACCTACACAATAATTATTATGGATTATAATTTTCCCAAAATGTCAATGCAAATGTTTAAAAAATAATTTTGGCTTAATTGTGCAGGTTTTCTATGAACTTTGCAGTCTACCAGTGATCTTTGCTAATGTAAGTCCCACCTTGGCCTGTAGCAGCCTCAGATCTTACAGGATAGAGAGCTAGAAAGGACAGACAAATGGCTCGGGAAGTATGCTTCTTGTCACTCACTTGTCCTTTTAGAAATTTCCTAGGATTCTTCGACCTAAATAGCTGTCTGGAGCCTGTATCGCCTTCTTCCCCATGGATGGAAATATAGACATCAGCTTCTGTTCCGGCATTCCACAGCTCTCCTGTTGTGACATGCACCTCATATACAGTCACTGACAGTAAAAGAAGACAGGTTTTTTACATTACAAACACTACCATAGTTATAGCAATATCCAGTTGTAAAGCAGAGTGACTATACGGTCCAAATACAGCTGTATCAAGAATTAGCTATCATGTACTTTTCATTCATAAAAAAATTCCATTTAATATTAAGTAAAATGACACACAAACTTGTTTTGATTTCGTGTGCATGCTGTTTACCGCAGGTTGGTATTCCCAGTGGCGAATGCAAATTGAAAATCAGCTCTAAATGCACAACAGTATATTTTTGTCCTACAGCACCACTTACAGTCATTATAAAGCAGAAAAGTAAACAAAGTAAATCCAAGATTAGCCTCAACATAAGCAGTCAGACCACAAATATTCCAGACAGCAGCCATCAACCCTTTAAAAGCACTGGTTAAAAAATAAATTCTAGCACCATTGTCTCCACTTTACAACATCAAATAATGCTTCACTGCTTTAATATTTCAGTGCTTCAGGCAATAATAATAATAGTAGATTATTCCTTTATTGCATTTGATGGGGAATCTTCTTTAATCACTTTGTAAGTTTGGGAGGGAAGGGAAGGGCTATAAATGAAAACTGCAACACCTTTGGGTGTTTAATACAAAATATGTAATATGACATAAAATAAAACTCCCAGGCAAAATACTGGGATTAAGAATGGGAATAGTAATTTATGGGTTATATTTATGCAGCTATAAATCTGAAGAAAAAAGGCAGAGACATTAAAAAAACCAGATAATTCAAAATTAAGATTAAATATAAAAGAAAATAAAACAGCTGAAAGTATAGAATGTACATTGTTCAGGCATCCAAAACAACCTTAACTCTGTTCTCTAGGCACTGCCATCTTCCCTTCTTTGTTTTATTTTTAGATCAAAGACATTTTCTATGGACTTTGGGCAGTCGACCGCCTATGGTTGAGAGCATTTTAAATTAGGACAATATTTGCTCTAATCCCTGCTAGGGCCAAGAAGTGCCACATTTCCAGGGGAAGATGCTACTGTGGGTGTGTGCGCAGGTACGAGCTGCGTGTGTATGTGAATGTGAACATTCTGCCATCTACCCCTCTAATCCTCTGACTGGGAAGATGCGAGCTTCGTTTGCCATTTGCAGATTGTAAACTCTTCTGAGTTGGTGTCAAGTATCAGAGGGGTAGCCATGTTAGTCTGGATCTGTAAAAGCAGCAAAGAGTCCTATGGCACCTTATAGACTAACAGATGTATTAGAGCATGAGCTTTTGTGGGTGAATGACATGCATCCGACGAAGTGGGTATTCACCCACGAAAGCTCATGCTCCAATACATCTGTTAGTCTATAAGGTGCCACAGGACTCTTTGCTGCTTCTTCTGAGTTGAGACCTTCTGTTTGTACACTCCTAATACAACAGAATTATTGTCAGGGTTCCCACACACACACTCTGAACTCTGGGGTACAGATGTGGGGACCGACATGAAAGACCCCCTAATCTTATATTCTACCAGCTTAGGTTAAAAACTTCCCCAAGGCACAAATTGCTTTCCTTGTCCTTGGACAGTTTTGCTGCCACCACCAAGTGATTTACACAAAAATTCAGGGCAGGGTCACTTGGAATCCCTATTCCTCCAATCTTGTTTGAAGTCTGTTTTTGAAGTTTTTTGTTCAAGTATGGCTACTTTTAAATCTGTTATAGAATGTCCAGGGAGATTGAAGTGTTCTCCTACTGGCTTTTGTATGTTACCATTCCTGATGTCTGATTTGTGTCCATTTATTCTTTTTCATAGAGACTGTCCAGTTTGGCCAATGTACATGGCAGAGGGGCATTGTTGGCACATGATGGCATATATCACATTAGTAGATGTGTGGGTGAATGAGCCTCTGATGGTGTGGCTCATTCACATACACATCAATTTCAAATAGAAACTGCAGAGCTACAATTCATTTGAAAATTTAACACCATTAATTTGGGCTTGAATATGGACTGGGAGTAGCTGGCTCACTACAAAAGCAATTTTCCCTCTCTTGGTATTGACATCTCCTCATCAATTATTGGAAGTGGACCACATCCACCCTGATTAAATTGGCCCTGTCAACACTGGTTCTCCACTTGTAAGGTAACTCCCTTCTCTTCATGTGTCAGTATATTTAGGCCTGCATCTGTAATTTTCACTCCGTGCATCTGAAGAAGTGGGTTTTTACCCACAAAAGCTTATGCCCAAATAAATCTGTTAGTATTTAAGGTGCCACCGGACTCCTCGTTTTTGTGGGTACAGACTAACACGGCTACCCCTTTGATACTTCATACCTATTTTATGGGTTTAGCCAGCCATGCCTTTTGGTGTTTGTCTGCAACAAACATCTAGTGTATGAGGGTGGGACCATGGTCATGCCTGCTCAGGATCCTGGAGCACTGTGGTTAATGCTGGCTAGCCTTTCTACATAGTACTCCCTGAGCCAGTTATGGCTGACAGCTATGTGGCTGTATTGTTGGGGGCAATGGGACAGAAAGGACTTTTCTTTCACCTCAAGGGCAGGTATGATTAAAGCTTAAATATTATTGTGTTAGGGTCCCACACTATATGCCTTTTTCATGTCCTTCTGCCTTCTCCCCCACCTTAGCTCAGTCATAGTTAACAGAGATAGCACAGCTCCATACCATCCAGTCAGCTATCCCCAGTCCATGTCTGTCCCAGTGCACCTCCCCGCCTCAACATGCCACCTTTGGAACTCCTGGTCCTCCATGTCACCCATCACCCACTTCCCCAGTCTACGTCTGGAGTCAGCAGCAGGTCCACTTAAATTTATGAACATTTTAATGTATTGTTTAGCTTTGCTCCACACACCCATGAAAACAGCTCTGTACGAGTGTGGTCTATGCATCATCCACAGGTAACAGAAAAGGAAAGAAAATAGCAATTATATTAGTCAAATACATGACATATTTACAAAACTGCAATTCCCATGATATTCCTAGTAGTGTTTGTGGTTTGTACGTGATGGCATCATGATAGTTACATATGTTTTTTGTTTCCTGATCTTTTTTATAAGTAAAAAAACAAACAAAAAAACCTTGTGAGGTTTATTCACCACTGTTTGAGTTTCCAGGTGGAAAATAAACAGGGCTGCCCTTATCTGTAAACCTCAATGAGACGACCCTAAGTCTAAAGGACTTTTGAAATTCAAGACATTTGATCAAAGACATTGCAGGTCCCCTCCCTGTTACACCTCCAAGTTAGGAGCTGCACATGCCCAGCCTTCACAAGGGAAAAGACCAGAGAAAAGCATTGCAGCTGTCAAACAATAATAGGTAATGGATAAAAAACAATCAATTGAATTCTACGGGTGGCAGTCCGTGACTTGAATTGCCTGATGCATTATTTCGCCTACCCGGAAGAACAGGCTGGCCCCGTCGCAAAACAGGAAGCTCCTGACAGATTTCGCCATCATCCTGGTCCTGCGCCAGCCATCGGTGGGCAGGGAGAGAAAACTGTTCTCCTGTGTAAAGGTTCTGCAATTGCACCTATAATAGCAATGACAATTATCATTTGTTTAAGTCACTTAGATTCCAATCCTGAAGTCGGTTCTGCTGGGGCAGATCTCTCAGCCTCTGCCAAGTCCTACTAGCATCAGTGGGGCTCCACGTAGCTGCAGGGTTCTGTGCTGGCAGATGTTATTGCAACATCTGGAATTAAGATGAAAGGCCAGATCCTGGCTCTTGCTCTGGCCCGTTTGCAGCTCTGGTGCCATAAGGGAGCCATGAAGGCCTCCTGGGGGGATAGCCCCAGTGCAGAAGTGGTGCGGGAATGTCATAGGCAGTCCTATGCTATTCTCCTATGCAGCCTCTAATATAGAGCCATAATAGGGAATGGGCACCAGGAGTGGAAAGGAAACAATCAATGTTTTGTGCTCTGGCTATTCTGAGCTGCAGACCCTCCCAAAGGCATCTGGCCAAGGGTGTCATATATTAGAGTAGCAGGAGCAGCTCAGCATCCCCCTGGCCAACCTAGGATGAAGGAGGTGCAAAGGTGACATAAAGCTGCCTCTACCCACTCCTCACTCTCCTGGGCTGAGCCAACTGCTGCTTCACACCGTTTAGTCTGACATGTCCCTTTAATTGTAATATACGGGAATCACAATTATTGGAAAGTCTTACTGCTGCCCACTCATTCAGGGCTGGAATACTATGTTTAAAACCTGCAAGAGGTTCACGACAAATGTTGGTGAACCAAACTCTCTAATCTTGCTTGAAGAAAACTGGCAAACCCAAAGCCTATCATTATCTCCTGTGGAAAAACATGTGGTAGGGGAACACTTAATGCACATGAGCGAGGTAGCACCATGCTTGAGAGAGATGTTTGTAGCCATGAATAGACCTCAAACCATCTTAATGCCGGGAGATCCATAAGGAAAGCCACAGAGGTAGGGGTTTATGCATGGAGGGCTAGCACTTCTGTGGGGCTGCCCAGCAGTGTAGCTCATTACTGAACATTTGTAGCACAAAAGTAATACAACGTGATCTCTTGATTTCATATCTGCAGGAGAATGCCTGGATTTCCCAGGAGATAGTGCTGATCAGTTTGTCTCCCCAGACTACTGCATTGTTCCCCGCTCCCCAGATTCCATAGCAGTGAAGGACCATACTGTGTTAACTCTACTGCACAAAATGTGGGGGTCTTTGTAGAAGATATTCGGCTCCTTTAGCCCCTCCCTCCAAAGCTGCACAGCAGACGGAATGATTGAGCCCTTGCTGATGGACTGCTGCCTAAAAGCTGCTGTGGTTTCAGGTCTTGATCCAGCTGTTTTTATTTCAGATGAGCCCAGGTAAGTAGACAAAACAGACTTTGTGAGCCAAGAAGCAACAGTGTACACTGAAGTGCCATTGATTTTAATTAAGATCTACCAGCTTGCATATGTGGAGGCAAGGCGAGGAGGAAAGAAAAAGCCCAAGCTCCTTTTCATTCCTTTTTTGCCTGACTTTAGTTTCTCAGTTTGAATAGATGCACCACACAGAATGCGGACCTTGCAGGGTCTGTTCATAGAGGCTGATGGAGGGCCAACATCTGCAGATTCATTTAGTGGGTCAGATTATATGTGACCCAAATAAATAATAAGTAAATAATAAATAAATAAGTATATCAATAATCATTCCCTGGATGACAGCTGCTCCCCTCTTCTAGTAGCCTCCTCCCCCAAATATAGTTTAAGAAGAGCTGGTGGCCTGCCCCTCCAACCTTTACTAGTGTTTGGGTGGAGGGCATGCAATGGCTGCTCTCCTCCAATATGAGCTCCTGCCTTCCACAATCCTTAGAGGGTCTTCTGGCAGATAGGAAACTTCAGGCTGCCCAAAAGCCAACAGGAGTTGGGAAACACTTTGACTCTGACTGTCAGCTACTGAGCTAGAAGAAGTGTCCCATAGTTCCTAGGGCAGAAGCTAAGGAAACATCTGGACTCCCTGACAACCTAGTAGTTATACAACTTCTCCATCCAGGCATGCAGTTACTAGGAAAATGTGGTCAAAGAATGCTGCCCATACATGGACCTGGTGCACAAGATTGTAACTAGGTTGACTTCAATGGAACTGCAACCATTGGTACCACGTCTGAATTTGCCCTCAAACATGAATTATAATGATAAGCTCTTTTCATATGTAGCTCTCAAAGTGCTAAAGGAGGTTAAGTATTGTTATCCTTAATTTATAGATGAGGAAACTGAGGCACAAAGAGGTGAAATGACTTGCTTAAGGTCACACAGTAGGTGATTGGCAAAGCTGGGAATAGAAACCAGGTCTCCTTACACCCAGACCTCTGTCCTTTTTCCTGGGGCACACTGACCACACCTTGTCTCAGTAAGGGTTGGAAAGAGAACTAGCATACTACCTATGCTACAAACCACACCTCGTATAAACCATGGAAATACTTAGTATATAACTTGTAATTTAGAAGGATCATAAATATTCAGTGGACCTCCTTTCTCCTTAGATACTGAAAAGGAAACCTTAGCAATATGGCTCTTGGGCTGCCATAAACTCCTCACAAGAACAACCCACAATAAATAGGTTTCTGAGTGATGCAATAAGCATCAGTGTCTGACTGAAATACTTCTCCCAGGATTTTTTATTATTATTATTTTGCTCGTTTGGGCACAACGATTGTTTAAAACACATGCTCAGGGTTCTCACCTCTTCACAGTGCCAAGAGGGGGATTCGCCAGAGTTATTGTGTCCTATGCGTATTTTATAGAGCTCTCCTACGTCTCCAATGTCAATCTATAAAGGAAATAAATAGATAAATTGCATCTAGCTCCTTAAAAGAAAAATTCCAAAGAACAATTAGTTCAGTAGGTATCACTCGTATGTTACATTCCTGTTTTAAAAACTGTTTCCTGGAGAACAGTAACAATCAGGCATTGTGTTGTGTTTAAAATACAGTGTCTCTTGATACAAAATTGTCTACTTTGATTATCTCATAAGTCTGTGTTTGGAAGAAGATTAGTTCTTGGGAGTGCTGGGTGCATGCTTCCAACTCTAAATATGGCTTCAGTGATCTCAGTGCACCAACTTTGCATGCAAGTCAGTCAAGCAACAAAGTGTGAACCAGGATGCTCTTATCAATGGAGAGACCATCATTTGGGCTTTGGGAACTTACTAATAGGCATCTCTCATCCTCTGGGGTATGAGTTTTCTCATGATTTAGTCCACTCACTGGAACTGCTTTTCTCCCAACACAACAGTCTGGACAGCTCATCTTCTGAGTTCACTTACACTGCAGAGATGCATGTGAAGCAAACCCTTGGATGCTAACTCCCCTGGACTTTGTGAAATAAACAATAAAGAACTTCCTGCACAGAGATACACAAGGACAAATGCATGGCTTTTGAGAGAGAGAGAGCCCAAGGCAAGACTAGGCCAGAGGGCGATAAAAAGGTTGTTCGCAAGACGAAACTCAGATGCAGGAGAGAAATGGCGGCTGGAGGGACAAAGACAGGGAAGAGGAACTGTGTTTGCTTTTGTTGTAAGACAACCCTAATCCACCTGCTCCCTTGAGCATCGTTGGAGGCATCTTCCAGCACTTCTGAAGCTCATCAACCACAATAAGACTGTTTCTGGAGCCATCGCTAGTGAATGAAATGTGCTTTTGTATTAATAATTTGGCTGCTATTGTACTATTGCCATTTTCTTTTTCCTCCCGGTCCCCTAGACACACGCGGAGTTCATGTCTATTATGTTTTTGTGCAGATGGTTTTGTGTTAAAATATCCATCATAGATATGGTCCCCCATTACTGTACTATTTGAGCATCTCACAGTCTTTAATCACCCCTGGAAGATAGGGAAATATCATTATTCCCATTTTACAGATGGGGAACTGAGGCAGAGAGAAACTAAGGTCCAGATCATCAAAGGTGTTTAGGCACCTAACTCCCATCTAAGCCCTACTACTTCTTTTCAACTTTAAGATCTTAAATGAACCCAAATGTTTGGCTTCTCTATCCTTTGCAGTTAGTTATTTGGTTCTATATACAGTAGTTGATATTTCTTAATGAAATATACTGAGCTTAATTGGCATTTAAGAAAAACAATTAGGTTTAGCTCTGTATTTAACAGTAGTATTACTTGTTTCCCGGTCTACTGTACAAAAACTGACTGTCCCTTTCATCACATAGCTTTACACTTTTTATGTAATCTGGTAGGCCACTATGGACAATAAAGAAAATATACTGACTGTTTATTACTTACAGTGAAGATGTCTTCATTGCCCCTCTGAAACAGTTTCCCTTCTTCTCCATACAGAAAGATAGGCCCTGAATTACTGTAATCCCCATACAATGTAATATAAACCTGTGAGCTGGTTCCTGCAGATGGTATATCACTGGTGAGGACAGACACCTTCCATTTGCCAGCTATGAAAACATAAAAGGGCACACACAATTACCTGAACCCATGACACCCTGGCAAAATTTGTTTCAATAATCAAAATTCTAAGCTACATAAAGCAGACAAATATAAATATACACATCTGTATATATACACTATAAAAAATCATCCATTACGTGATTATTGAGTTTGCATGGTTAGGCACTCAAAAAAACAGAAAATGTCAGGTTGCATGCAGATCCTTTGCTGTGCTCCTTTGTGCATATGTAATATGATACAGCCTAATTCATGAACGCACATTCTCAAATAATATGATATATGATATAGCATCATATAGTTCTTTTCTGTGCCCTTACATCCACAAGGAGAGCATCTTGTTTTTTCACACAACTTAATTCCATAGTTATAAAGGTCCACTATATCTTTATTGGTTTAGTCTTCTTATAAAAGTTCTCTTTAACCAAAAGCATATATTTTAATAATTAAGTCAGCAACCAGGTGCTATGTATATTTTTGTTTCAGTAAGCAGCACAGCCGTCTCAGAGTATGTCTACACTGCAATTGGCAGTGCAATTGCAGCTTGTGTAAACATACCTGTGCTAGCGTTAATCTAGCTAGTTTGAACAATAATAGCAGTGAAGACACAGTTACACAGGCTTCAGTGTGAGCTAGCAACACGAGTATGTACCCAGGAGCCCTGTGGAATCTTTTCCACCACTTCTTCACTGATATTTTTAGCCACGCTAGCTGGGTTAAAGTTAGTGTGGGCATGCCAGTCCACGCTGCAGCCACAGGTCCATGGGCAGTGTAGAAGTACCCGCAGTGGCAGTCCAAATAATTAAACAGTTAACTATGAAGAAATTTAGGTGAAAACATTGGTAGCCCATAGATGCCAGCAACTGTCCACTATGAACATAGGAACGGCCATACTGGGTCCATCTAGCCCAGTATCCCGTCTTCCGACAGTGGCCAGAGCCAGGTGCTTCAGAAGGAATGAACGGAACAGGTAATCCTCAAATGCTCCATCCCATGTCGCCCATTCCCAGCATCTGGCAAACAGAGGTTAGGAACACTTCAGGGACACTATGACTCTGTTATAGTTAAGCCAGACTACAGTGTGGCCTACCCTCATGAATTTGCTGCAGGTAATGCGATTTGGCCCCTACTGCAAGACATCTTGTGATGACGCAAAAGGCTGCAGCCTTCATGTGATTTTTAGAAGCAATGAGCAATACCCCCATGGTGCCCTATAGCGTCATAGAAGCCACACTAAACAGCAAAGCCATGTGTGCTAGTCTCAGCTCTTCCACTGACTGGAAATGAACTGCTATTGACATTTCTGTGCCCTTCGCAGCTCTTATGTTGAGCTAAGGTTTCATACCTTGGAGGTAATTATTATTCATCATATTCACAGATAAGATCATAGAATCATAGAATAGCAGGGTTGGAAGGGACCTCAGGAGGTCATCTAGTCCAACCCCCTGCTTAAAGCAGGACCAATTCCCAACTAAATCATCCCAGCCAGGGCTTTGTCAAGCCAGGCCTTAAAAACCTCTAAGGAAGGAAAGATAGCTGAGAGCTTGCACAAAGCATAGCTGGAACTGGAATCCATGGCTCTAATATAACTGAGCCCAATCTCAACTACCGTGCTACACAGTCTTCCAGAAGAAACATGTCAAATTAGGGGCTTGTGCAATTGACACCAGTACAGGGTGGCTCTATGTCCCTCTCTCGCAGCTAGAGCACATAGAGAAATGTACAACTCTTCTAATACTTCTGGGCTAAGAGAACTGGTTCTATAGCTGAAGAGATAGAGGCTCATTTTTTTACATCAAGAGGTCTTGGCTTCACTCCCTACAGATGATCCAACAAGGGACATTGTTACATTTAGCTATGTTATCTGTAACCCGTACACACAATCAGCTCCCAGAATCACAAATAGAAACCAAGGCTCCTGATACCCAGCCTGTCACTGCAGTCTCACAAATACTAGTATAACTCATTGGCAATGTGTGTGTTGTGGCTCCCTGTATGGGCTGCTCCACATAGAGGATAATAGCATGTTTATCCCACACCAGTTGCTCCTATACCTGAAGAAGAAAAAGGTTGTGCTGTGGAAAATTCTGTGGTCAAGCCCTGTTGATGAGCCTCGTGGGGGTAGACAAATATGCAAATGAATGCAAGGATGCTGGAATAATTGTTGGGATGACTTTATATTGCAAAATGTATTTAAAGGTGAATTTGGATCTTGTGTTAATAGTTGGACTGTTGCTTTTTAAATTATTTGTACTTGATTAATGGGTGCTCTCCCTGTAAGATCTGGGTGTGGCAAACTGAATACGTGTTGGAGATTGTGCCAAAGAGTGGGTGACACAGCCTAGGTTAATAAATCAGACATGGATTTCATAAACTTATCTTCCAAAAAGCAAGTTGCATTCTCAAAGGTGTAATATTAGCACTTATGGGGGACTGGATGCTTCAGTACATTGGTAATGAGCTAGAGAGCATTTCACCTGTAGGTTACCTGTTTGAATTCTGCCCAGATCAGCAGGGGTTAAAAGTGTCCCTATCTAATGGAAGTCTGATAGCCTTTTGTATCTGACTTTGGTGAGTCCCCATTTCGGCTCCCACTTCCCAAACTTCACCATGCTTTGCCCTAGCTTGCAAGCTCTTCATGGCAGGGACTCTCCCTTACTGTAGTTATGTCTACACTTTGACATGGGGCTGTAATTCTCAGTTTAAGGAGGCATACACATCCTAGCTTTGATTGAGCGAACACACTAAAAATAGAGTGTAGCTGTGGCAGCGTGAGTGACTAGCCAACACATACAGACCTGTCCAAGGCGTTAGGCATGTACTTGGAGGGGCTAGCCTGTCCCGCCACATCCACACTGTAAGTTTTGCACACTTGCTCAATCTGAGTTAGCTCTGGTGTCTCCTTGAGCTGAAAAGTCACACCCCCAACTCGCTGTACAGACTTACTGTGTGTGTCACACATGCATTGCAGGTGGGCCGGGGTAATTAAAAAATCAGAAGACATGCCAAAAAGCACATTTTAAAAAAATCTTATGATTTTTTGGGGGTCTGACTTCTGATTTTTAAATGCTTTGGGCACATATGAGAATAGTTTATTCTTCTACCTCTTGGTTGAGGGATACCACGGGTATCACAATTACAGCAGGCCCCTGCATAGTGGGAGACATTTGAGTTAGAAGCTACTTGCACCCTCCCCGTTCTCCTTGGGCACCCATGTAAGGGCCAGCCATCTGGCACCTAGAAGGAATAAGAGTGTAATGTAAACTGTATGCTTACAAATAAATAGACTTCACTCTGAAAAAAATTATGAGATAATCTGTTTGGGAGGGAGTGGAGGCTGGGGGAAGGGGTGTGTTTGCTAACTCCTTTGTGAGAAATCCAATGCAGAATATATACATTTGCTACATCACCTGTTGTTTACTAAGTATATGATCCACACTGGAACAGCTTTGGTTTGTGGTCCTGGGGTTAAATATTTTGTTACATTTGGGGCTGAAGTATGAAAGGGTCTCATTGTCTAGTGGCAAGAGACCTGAGAGAGAATATCAATGTTCATAATTGGCTTTACTTCAGATGAAAGTGTGTAGGAAGATTCCCAGTTACAATCCACAACAGGAGTGAATTTCTCACGCAAAGTGGCGTGGTCATACTGAGATACACCTAGATAGATACACCCAATATAACACAGATTCGCATACAATGCAGTAACCCCAGGGCTCCGGCAGCGAAGCTCGGGCAGTGCTTTAAAGGGCCTGGGGCTCCGACTGCTGAGGGGAGCCCCGGGCCCTTTAAATCGCCGCCCAAGCCCCGCTGCCGAAGCCCTGGGGTAGCGGGGGCAGGGCTCCAGTGGTGATTTAAAGGGCTTGGAGCTCTGGCCGCTGCGGGAAGCCCCGGGCCCTTTAAATCACCGCCGGAGCCCTGCCACCGCTATCCCAGAGCTCCAGCAGCAGGGCTCTGGTGGCACTTTAAAGGGCTAGGAGCTCTGGCCACTGCGGGTTGCCTTGGGCTCTTTAAATCACCGCTGGAGCCCTGCTGCCGCTACCCCGATATAACGTGGTTTCACCGATAACACGGTAAGATTTTTGGCTCCTGAAGAGCACATTATATCGGGGTAGAGGTGTATATATTTTCTGCAGCCATGTGGTAAAATCGTTAGAGTAAAGGACTAGGTGGAATAGGGGCTCCTAGATTCTACTCCCGTCTCTAGTTACTGATTTAGGTGATGTAATGTGTTAATTTTGTGCCTCTATTTAACCATCCATAAAAAAAAAAAGAGGTACGGTAATTCTGTCATGGCTTCCAAGTGATTCGGAGGATTTAGATTCCAGCACCGGCTATTTTTTCTTGTTTGGACACAAATAAATAGACATAGGCACAGAATAATAGCCTAACCTATATTTAACTACAGTACATACATAGTTCCTGGCTTTTGCACTGAGCATGGATGGAAATGGAAGAGTAAAAGCATCAGCAAAACTTATTTCTCATAGAACTCCAGAGACTAGTTAAGTGCAAACTCCCCTAGCCATTTTGGTTCACTGCTTCTCTCACTGACAGTGTTCTGACTGTAGTATGAGTCTGTGTATTTATCACACCCACAATCCATTACATTCTTTAAGAATATGTGCCATGGCTGTCACTCAGAATTACATCATGTAATGGTGGTATCATGCAAAATGACAACTGGCAGGCTGAGACACTAGCAGCTATGTTTTAGGGCACAGCGTTGCATTTTTAAAGTGTGAAGTAATCAGTAAATAATATACATTTTATTCTGTCACACCCTTACCATCTTACACCACAATCCATTTTTAGCCTGTGTGGATGGGACTTACTCTGTTACGTTGTGAAAAAGCCGGGTCAGATTTTTAAAGGGATTTTGGTGCCTAAACTGGCAGATAAGCTCCTACATCCACCCTGGTGGTGCCACTGACATTTTAAAAGCTGCAGCTCAGGTTCCACCTGAGCCCCTAGGTGCAGAAGTCCCCAG